CTACACTGTACTACAGTCCAACCTCTTTGGTTTAATTTGTTCAATGCAAACCTTCAAATTGCACCTTTGTGACTCTGATCTGTTATTCTGACTTTCAGTTTTCTACTGCATTTTTGTTTTTTATGCTTATGATGAGCATTTACATATTCATGAGGAAAACTGTGATGGCATCCCAGGATGAAAGCATCAATCCTTTCTACACAAGTCCTGCATTTCTGTAGGATTTATGGTCTCAGTTTTCACTTCTTCGTAGATTTATTGTTGTTTATGTGAACAGCAATAACAAAGCATCAAACCCTCTCTCAGAAATGTGTACAGTAGGTAAATTCTACATTCACAATTGCACTGAACCACATGTTCCCTAGATGACTTCAAGCAACTGTGCCCTCAGTTGTCCAGGAGAGGATGATTAATTTTAATAGGATTGCAGAGGGGTTTTTGTACAATTAAAGAAGATACAAGATATCCTCCGCTCTTGACAACTGAAAAATATTGACATTCCCAGCAGCTCAGTCTTTTGTTCTGAGTATGGTCTCTTGTTACAAGGCCCAGCTCTTTTGTCCAATTTCAGGCTCCCCGGTTTCGGGTATAAAGCCTACGTGCCCAAAACCAGGCTCCCCGGCAGCATATAGTTGATGAGGTTTGACTAATTTGTTTGAATCCAAAAAGGCCTGGCAGGGGGGGAAGTATGATCTGCCCATCCTGATGTTCCAATATCCTCACAGTGCATTTTTACACACCAAGCCTTTAGGAAATTTTCTTGTAAAATCTTCAAGTCAATTTGACCCTAATTTGGTGTAAATCTGACATATTCCTTTCTCATGCTCCACCAAGTTTTCAAGAGAGCTCATCAGCCCAATTGTCAACTTTTCCCAATGATGTGCATGCAAGCTGACACAAACGTAGTCTTCAAATGACAGCAACAATGAAGCCATACATCGGATGGAATTGACACTTCCCATCTGTACTGATAATGAGTGTGTTAGTCTAAAAAATGATTGGGCATAGGAAAGCTGAGTTCAAAATAGGGTGGAAGGGTGAAATGGTCTGAAAAATGTTCTGTGAAATTGAAAAAACAGCTATTCTAGGGATATATCTTTTTTTTCCCAATTGCCAAAGTTTTAAAAAGATTTTCTTACAGTATCTTTACCTGTGAATTCAATGTTGCTCATTTCTCTGAACACATCAGAAAAAATAACAAAACCTCAGTCCAAACATAAAACACACAATTTGTTCATTACCTCTTTCCCCAAAATTTCCCAGAGGTTTGTGAAAGAATCTATCACTACTTACCCACACTCATCAAGAAACTTGATTCTTCAAGATGGCAGACCACTATAATTGCAGCAACAAAAGATAGAAGGTAATAACAAATTTTGTAAAATATTTAGAAATTTGATGCAATCATTCGATGTTTGTAAACAACTCCAGAACACATATGGCTCATACATAAATCTTCAAATTTACTCTGCAAAGAGTAACTACTATGCATGATATTACTGAGACTACAGTTAGGATTGGTCACTCAAACCTGCATTGTGTCAGGCTCGAATTAAACTCAAGCCTGTTAAGAGGCTCAAGAGCTGGGACAGGTCACTCAAGCCTAGATTGTTTGAGGCTCAAACCCACCAACTGGGTCATGTTGCTCAGACCAGCACAAGGATTGATAACTACATCCTGGATAATCAGAGGCTTTATTCAACCTGCTTGTTCATGTTGATGAGACCAGAGCAAGGATTGGTCACTGAATCCTGGGTAGTAAGAGGCTCAAGCCCACTTGCTTGTTCTTGGTGATGAGACCAGAGCAAGGATTGGTGACTCAATCTGTGGTTGTTAAAGGCTCAAGTCCACCTGCAGGTTCATGTTGATGAGACCAGAGCAAAGATTGATCACTCAATCCTGGATGGTTAGAAGCTCAAGTCCAATTGTTGATCAGACCAGAGAAAGGATTGATCACTCAATCCTTGGTTGTTAGAAGCTCAAGTCCACCTGCTGGTTCATGTAGCTGAGACCAGCACAAGGATTGAACACTCAATCCTGGGTGGTTAGAGGCTCAAGTCTACCTGATGGTTCATGTTGATGAGACTAGAGCAAGGATTGGTTACTCAATCCTGGATGGTCAGAGGCTCAAGTCCACCTGCAGGTTCATGTTGATGAGACCGGAGCAAGGATTGATCACTCAATCCTGGATGGTTAGAGGCTCAAGTCCACAAGTTGGGTCATGTTGATGAGAGTAAAGCAAGGATTGGTTACTCAATCCTTTGTGGTTAGAGGCTAAAGTCCACCTGCAGGTTCATGTTGATGAGACTAGAGCAAGGATTGGTCACTCAATCCTTTGTGGTTAGAGGCTCAAGTTCACCTGATGGTTCATGGAACTGATACCAGCACTAGGATTGAACACTCGATCCTTGCTTGTTAAAGCAAGGATTGGTCACTCAATCCTTTGTGGTTAGAGGTTCAAGTTCACCTGA